TCTGGCTTTGAGAGTCTAGGATTGTAATATATATATATATATATATATATATATATATATATATATATATAAAGGGTGTTTTTCCACATGGTATGATTTTTTTTTGGGGGGGCGGAGTCTCACTCTGTCCCCCCAGACTGGAGTGCAGTGGAGCAGTCTTGGCTCATTGCAACCTCCACCTTCTGGGTTCAAGCGATTCTTCTGCCTCAGCCTCTGGAGTAGCTAGGATTACAGTAGCATACCACCACGCCAGGCTAATTTTTTGTATTTTTAGTAGAGATGGAGTTTCACCGCATCAGCCAAGCTGGTCTTGAACTACTGACCTCAAGTGATCCGCCCACCTTGGCCTCCCAAAGTGCTGGGACTACAGGCATGAGCTATTGAGGCTGGCTTCCCACATGATATGATTTCTCAAAATTTATTCTGTAGATACCTTTTCCCTTAATACTGACATTTTAATATATTCTGCATCCTTTTTAGCTAAAGTAACTGAAAATGTGGAAGAGACGGGCAAAATTGCAAAGGAATCTTTCACCTACAAAGGAGGGCAAGTCCTTCCTGACCCTTGCTTTTAGTATATCTTCTTGCCTTTTTGGAGCACATACTGTGCTCTCTTAAGCCCCCTGGTATTTCCTATTTCCCTTTGCCTGGACTCTCGTCCAAGACATCAAAATCCTTCAAGCCTCATATAAGCCTTATTTACCCTGGAAAGTCTTTCCTGTTATGTATTTCCAGTCTATGCAGTTAGACTGTTAAGCCTCCTTCACGTTTCCATGGAATAATTCCTTTCTGCACTTACCGAAGTAGCAGTCAGGGTCTACTATTTCTATGTCTTTCTACTTTAAGTATTTCCAGCATGGGTTCTTGAGAACAGGAGAGGGACCAGGCCTCCACTTGGCTTTCATGATGCTTAGCTTACCATGCATTTAGTTAGTGTTAGTAATTTTTGTAGAAGAACTAGGTGGATAATACATGTGTCTCTAAAGGCATGGGTGGGATCTCCTATCTAAACCCTGTGGTTTTCATCTGTTTCACAATCTAAACATGGCCAACTTCTTTAAAAATGTAAAACTCTCCAGAAGAAATGGCTGGGGAAAATGTAGCTAGATCTACTTAGTTACTCCTTATGGAGAAATCCATCAAAGTTTAACAGATTCATGGTAAAATATATAACTATATAATAACTTCATACATAAAATAAGTACATATTCAGTATGATACACAGCATGTTTCAGAAAATGTAAAAATAAAATTTTAAAATACCATCAAATAATGGGAACTAATCTTAAAGCTATTAAAGGAAAAATTTATTCAGAAATCTTATCTCAGGTAAAACATCTACAGCAATTGTCTAACATAGACAGTCGAAGGGTTCACAGTTGCGACAGTTGTGACAACAGAGGTCATTTACTGAGGAACTTTTATGCGCCAGGCACTAGGCAAGGTGCTTTACGTATACTGCCCCACTTCATCCTTCCACTGTGGCAGATACTATTGCTATTCCAACTATACAGTTTAAAAGAACTAAAACCTAGATAGCGTTACTCCCAAAGTCTCTGAGCTAGTCGTTAGCAAAGCCAGAACTCAAATCCATCTCCCCCTGACTCCAGACTATGCTGATAACCATGAGACCTTATACTGAAATCCACTTTACAATATATATTACTGGAATAATTTATTTCACTATCCATTTTTTAAGGACTATAAAGAACCCCATCTGCTTTCATTTGTTAGAGATTTGTTTATTCATTGTCCCAAAAAAGACTAAAGCATCCAATTTCTATGTAGTATCCAATGAGATACACACTTTGGTAGACATTACATCATTGAAAACAATGACATCACTGTGGCTCTTTAAAAAGGTACAGCTACAGACTAAAGTAGCTCACTTTCTTTTGTTTTTAAATGACTAAACATGAAATTTTATAGTATACTTTCTGTATGTGTAATACCTTGAGACCTTTGGCCTTGTCATGTTATAAATATACGTTTTTTGGTTTTTTTTTTTCTTTTTTTTTTTGAGGTGGAGTTCCACTCTTGTTGCCCAGGCTGGAGTACAATGGCACGATCTTGGCTCACTGCAACCTCTGCCTCATGGGTTCAAGTGATTCTCCTGCCTCAGCCTCCAGAGGCTGCTCCTCCTGAGGAGCTAGGATTACAGGCATGCACCACCACGCCCGGCTAATTTTGTGTTTTTAGTAGAGACGTGGTTTCTCCATGTTGGTCAGGCTGGTCTCGAACTCCCGACCTCAGGTGATCCGCCCACCTCGGCCTCCTAATGTGCTGGGATTACAGCCACCGCACCCAGACAATATACAGTATTTTTTACAAGAAAAAAAAAATTGTTTAATTAAATGAGCACTGTTTCTTTGGAGTGAGAAGAACGCTTGGGAAAGCAGTGTAGCAGAATCACTGAACTGTCTTCTATGTACTTTTACTTGATTCTAATAAATCATAATACAATGCCAGAGTGAGTGTTCGTGTGTGTGTGTGTGTGTGTGTGTGTGTGTACCGGGGGGAGGGGTGCACATAGGCAGCCACAGGGTAGGTTGAAAACATTTCTCATATGACCTCCACATTATCCCTCCATCGAATTGTCTTCCAGAATCACCATTTCGGAAAGCCAGGTGTTTATAAATTTTTTTAAAGTTGGAAGGAGGGAAGAATTTTGTTTTCGAAGCTGAGCTGACTATATTGGATAGCTGCTGACAAAGAAGAGTCAACCTGATGAAAATGATTATATATATATATTAGTAGCATAGGTCACTACTCCAAAACTTTCTCATTTTGTTCCACCACTCTCCTCGCTGCCACACCATCACCAAACAGAATGTTTGCAGCACCATTTCATTCAATGACCTTCAGAGGAAAGCACTCAGGAAAATAGGGCACTGGCAATTAAATTAACTGCTGAGTGAAGAAGGCAGCTACTGTGTCTGAATGGGATTGTTCTCTTGTTTCAAAAGAGAATTTTTTAAAAAAAAAAAGCAGCATTTTTTTCTTTTTTTCTCTTTCTTTCTTTCTCTCTCTCTCTTTTTTTTTCAGTGAGCATCCTGTAAACAGCTGTATTACAAATAAAGATGACAATTAGTTTTGTCAGTAATGGGCCATGTATGCCCACCAACTCTAAAACATCTTCATTTGTGGAATGAGTTTCTGAGTAGATATCAAAATATGCTGCCATCTTTATCACACTAGCCCAATACTAAGAAATACTCAGAAGTATAACATTTTCCAAGAATTTCAGTATTTTATATTGGCACATTTTCCTTACTCTTCTCGAGGCTACCTTAAAGATAAAGCTCACTAAGATATACTTTTTAACGGATACACATCAGCTCTGGAAGACAAATATTTTACAATCTTAAAAGTTCAATTAGTGCAAATCTCATCATTACTGATCTTTATTGCTAGGGGATTTTGCCTTTTGTGACTTTTCACAGGTATATCGCAGTTATTCAATGCCCTACATAGAAGCCAGGGATTTTACAGGGGAGAAACGGCCCCAGGACACTTCAAACTAATTAGCCTGCTTCTCAGAATCTGAGACCTAATGAAGATGATCAGCATGGCATCCTTGAGTCCTGAGACAAACTGTACTATTAAGGGGGTTCCTGCTACTGTTCCTGGCTCCTTCATTAAGCTTGGAAAACAGCTGCTGGCTAAAAGACACATGTTATTTTCTAAACACTGACCTGCTTTGTCCTGAGAGTCATCAAACTCGACGTTGAAAGAATGACCATTGTTGAGGATCCTCCGGGAAGTTGCTTGATCATAGGAAACAGACAGAGGCTTCAGGGAAGGGTCATACTTGGCTGTGTGAGTGTCGATGTCAACAGGGGACTGGCGCTCTCCTTTGGCAATGGGGAAATCATTATGCCAGTGCTCAGGTCCTGGGGAAAAGAAGACAACACATGTGAATCCCCCACTGTGGGGAAGGTTATACCCAGACCCCTAGAGAAGAGCAATCATTCTGGGGCCAATCTGCTCAATTCCACAGTGGGGTAAACTTTGGGAAAACACGTAATCTGTGCTTCAGTTTCTAGATTTGTAATGTGGGATAATTAGAAATCTACTTCATAAATGTCGCTGTCAGAATTAGAATAGATATAGGTAAAGCTCTTAGATCACTGAGTGCCATATAAATATTAGCTATTTTAATGATAGTTTTACTGAAATTCAGCAACTGAACCTGGGCAGACACTAACGGCAGGGCTTGTGGTTGGGATTTGGGATATGCAAGCTCACTTAAGACATTCAAGCAGGTCTGGATCCCTTCCTCACTGCCCAGGCCCGGGCCCACCCCTCCTTTAACCCACAGGGTCGCCACTACCTGGGAAGCCCCACACCCCTCCAAAGATGCGCCAGACGCGTGCCTCTCTGCTCCGCTGGCTCCAGAGAACCAGATCAGAGGCCAAGATAAAACCCGATTCTTGGTGTCCGACGGAAAAACTCGGAAATCAGCATCATGGATTCAAACCAGCACTGGGAAATGCCCCAGGACAGTTAGTGATGAGCGCCTTATCCACAGGTGGTGCCGAAGCTGGAGGAGTGTGTAGGGGGGCGGGGGAAGGGGGTCTCTTAATTTATCTGCGATCAACAACTAGAATTTTCCGTTACAACCCTTCCCCGCCTCCTCCTAGGTCGGGTTAAAATGATTCCCGGCTCAGGAACCGGGAGGGACTGTCATCGGATCCCGCGGCCAGGCTGCGTCTCCCCTCCCTCGGGCCCTGCGCGCCTCCGGCGGACGCGGGGATTCCTCGACAGTGGCCTCGCAGCTGGGGAGAGGGGGGAATCCCCGGCACTGGGGAGCCGCGGGCTGAGCGAGCGTCCGGGGCGCACCTGAGTCTCCAGCGCTCCCCGCGGCCGCGGTAAACAGCAGGTGCGGGCGCTGCGGGCCCCGGGCCGGCAACTGGGCTCGGGGCTCGGCGCTCAGGGCTCCGCCGCGCCGGCGGCCGCCCGCACTCACCGTTGTCCTTGCCGTACCCCCAGTGATGGGACATGGTCGCGCCGGCGGTCGGGGCAGGGCAGGAATCGGCAACGGTCTAGCGGCGGCGGCGGCTCGGGCGCCTGCACTGTGTGTCCGCGGGTCGCGCCGGCACCGGCTTTTATAGGCTCCCGCCAACTTCGTGCTCGGGGGCGGCCCGGGGGAGGGGGCCCGGGTGGACCTGGGCGACAGGGGAGGAGGTGACGGGCGGAGGTGATCTCCCCGCGCTCGGGGCGGGCCGGGCGGGCCAGGCTCCGGGGGCGGGGAAAACGCCCTCTCGGCCGGCGCTCGGCGGGGCTCCGGGGCTCCTTTCCCGCTGCCCGGCTCCCCTCGGCCCGCGGCCCGGCCCCGGTGTCCTGAGCTGGCAGCGAGGCTCGGCGCTCTCGGCGCGCGGCGGCTGCGGCGGCTCCTGGGCTCCTCCGTCCGACTGGGGCCGCGGAGCGTCTACGCGCACCCCATCCCCCTCCCGGGCGCGGAGTCTGGCGGCGGCGGGGACAGCTCGGGACCCGGGCCCCTGGCGCCTTTCATCCCCTGTCCCCATTGTGATCTGTCTCCCGGCCCCGGAGCCCTCCCCCCACCACACGCGCCGGGGTCTCCAGCCCGAAGGGCTCCCTCTCTGGTGTCCCCGGCCTGGGGCTGGCAAGCTGGTTAGGAGCTATGACCTTGGGGCAAAAAGGGATACGATCCTTCAGGCGCGGGGAGCGCGCCGCACTGAGCGCTGAGAGCCACGCGCCCTCTGCTGCCCCGCCGTGGAATAAAGCAAGACAGAGGCGTCACGGTCCTCTGCCCGCAGCCCACGCTGGGGCGAGCCGGGAGGATTGCATTTCCTCGTAGGCTGGCAGAGCCTCACATGAAGTGCTCATCTTCTACTTTCCTTCTCTTTAAAAAATTAACGTGGGTGAGGAGACGTCCTAGTTGAGTACATATTGTTTTGAAATAACCAAAACTTTTAGCAAATCGCTTTTCTCAGAAGCATCTAGTAAAAGATAATTTCTTCCAAAGACATGAGAAAGAAGTTCCCCGGCTGGCCAAGAAAACTTGGCATTTGGCATACCTATGAATCATTCAAAATAGTTTAATAGGAAGGATATTTTGAGGCCAGCCAGCATTATGGCTTTTGTGGGTCCTGTGGCATTTCACCTTGCTGGGTGCCTTTTTCATAAACACGCAAACACATTTATAACTACACTGACATAAAGATAAATATCTTAAAATTATAAATTTAAACATTTTCTTTGACTCAAACCTAATTTTTGTTTTGTTGTTCTTATTTTAAAAGGAAACCTTTTCTTGGGCATCTAAAAGGATTATGGACCTGAGGCACTGTGCTTACAGGGCCTAATGGGTTAGTGACTCTGTTTTGAAGTATAGACAGAATTCATTTCCTGCAAGGGACTTTGCCACAAAAAAAATTGAGGGTTTGTGGGAAAGAGTTCGGTTCTGTGGTCTCTGCAATCTTTGAGGGCCATAGTATTAGAATTACAGCCAGGGAAGCAGGACATAGTTCAATGTGATTGTGTCAGCCTTGACATCACATTACTTATATTTGAAAATACATGGATAAATAAAAGGATAAGTTATTAGTGCACATTTTTGCAATATTGATCTCAAAATTGCTCTTTACTATTTATCAGTCAATTTCATGCAACCAAATATAATTCATGTTTAGACTTACTTGTTCTTGTTCTAAGACTTTAGAAAATGGTGTACTGCTTATGTGGGTTTTGAGTTGATGTCACAGGGAATTCTTAGGCAAGAAAGCAGCAATAAACTTTTTAAATTTTTAGGACCATTACAAAATGGAGTTTGTAGCAAAGAAGAACCTTTTATTTGTGCCTCTGTAGATGCATTGTATCTGTTGGGGCCCAGTGAGGTAATTTTGATTTTTTATATAATTTTCAAATATTAACTTGGTTGCTGTGAGGCTCTTCACTTGGCCCTGGCATATGACATTGATGGGTGCCAAGAATTGAATGGGACGTTTATCAATGTAGAGTGGGTTCTCAGGATTCTGTGAAGGGAGCTAAGCTATTTGATTAGCCGGAATCCTTGTCTTTCATTTTCCATGAAACTGGATTGTGGCTTTCCTAAGAAGGATGTAGTAAGAGCATATTTGATTCTTAAATACGTGTAAAACTTCAAATACCGGTATACTGCAGTTCACCAAATGGATTCTTGTTATGGGAATTTTCCCTTATCTCTCACTTCTGGAAAGTGAATTAATTCTCAGTGGGAGAAGGCCCTCCCCACAGAGCTGCTGTTAGGGAGAGTGTCACGTGCTCACCACAGGGTGGAGAGCTCACCTTTGGATACTCAGAAGCAATCTAAATTTTTTAGTAGCTTTTTGGTATTACAGTACCAGGTTTTTTTTGGTTGACTTATCATTATTATTTTTTTCTCCTGGTCAGTTTTTATAATGGAGTTAACTTTGTGTGTTCAGTCAGTCCCAATCTAACTTTATTTTACTGAAGGCAGTCTTAGCAGGCTGTCATGATTCACAGGCTGCAAAAAACTATTCTAATACTAGATTTGTTAAAATAAGTAAAGTGCTTATATTATTATGTACCTATGTTTCTATTAGAGAGAAGGATTGGTTCATTTCAGAATAATCCTAAGTAAAGGAACTGACAGTAGCTGAAGAAAAGTACTTTTCTTTGCCCCAGCAGGAAAAAAATTCAGCCAGTACATCAGGAAAATGTAATATAAAAAATATCTTAAAGCCTGTGTTCCAATTATTGTAATAAAAAGGCTTCTAACATATTATTAATCCTAGCAAAAATGTAAAAAGAAAAAATGTTTGCTTTTTCTCAAAAAATGTAAAGATATTGTTAAAATATTTTACAAAGTGAGATATACATGATTTATTAAATATTTAATTAAAAGGCTAATAAAAAGCCAGATATCTTCATGTTTGTTACAATTATAGTGTTAAAGTAAATATCGGGGCTGGCTCACACCTGTAATCCAGCACTTTGGGAGGCCAAGGCAGGCAGATGGCTTGAGCTCAGGAGTTCAAGACCAGCCTGGATAACATGGCAGAACTCTGTCTCTACAAAAAACAAAAAATTTGCCAGGCATGGTGATGTGCACCTGTAGTCCCAGCTGCTTAGGAGGCTGAGGTGGGCAGACTGGAGCCCAGGAGGTCGAGACTGCAGTGAGCCATGCCACCGCACTCCAGACTAGGAAACAGAGTAAGACCCTGTCTCAAACAAAATAAAAATAAATAAATATCTATGGATGCCAAGAGCCACTTGCTTCTTGGGGCTCCCATAGGTCTTTGTACACACATCCTTCTATCTAATACTGGCAATTCTGCATTGTAATCAGACACTCTATTGTAATCATTGCGTTGTAATACAATGACCCAATAAGCTGTTGACTGCTCATTTGTAAAGCAGAAATAATGACACCCACCTCATTGTTGTAAGAATTCAGTCAGTGAGTATAGATAAATCACCTGCCATGTGTAGGCACTCAGTAAATCATGGCTATTGGGTTCCTCCTAGACAGTGCTAAGTAGTTAGACTATAATATAAGGAATGCAAAATTAAACATCTGAGCCAGGTACAAGGGAAACATTTAGGAGGAATGAGTCTCCAGCAGCATGAGGGGTGTGTGTGTGTGTGTGTGTCTGTGTGTGTGTGTGTGTGTGTGTGTGTGTAGGAGGGTTTGGGTCATGGAGATGTCAATTCTACCACACTTCTGTTTTTCTTCTTAAACTGTGCCTTCTAAATTTGAGCACTGTGTCACATTATTTATCTCTGTATCTTAGGCACCTAGCACCCTTTACCTAGCCTGAGTCCCAGGATACATATAGTAGCTACTCACATAGTACTCTTTGAAATTATAAACTTTGAAAAATCCAAATGGCGGTAATGGCAGTTTCATTTTGCAGAAGTTAGTAAATAATTGTGTTACAGATTACAATTAGCAAATAACATTGTGCTGAAATTAGATTGGCTTTGAATCTGAGTTAATTTACTAGCTTTGTGACTTCGGGCAAATTGTTTGATTGTGCTAAGATTCCGTGTCCTCATCTATAAAACTAGGATAATAATAATACCTACCTCATAGAGTTGTGGTGAGGACTAAAATGATGTAATGTGTGTGAAGGATTTAACCTAGTGCCAATAATTAGAACTTGATTAATGTTAGTTATCATTACTACCATTACAGGTTTCTCAGCTCCTATTTTGTGCTTAATGTTTTCTCTGTGCCAGGTGGGCTACACAGGATGACTCATGTCTTCATTCACTCAACAAATCATTCTGAGAGCTGTTATGTGTCAGGCATCGGCACAAGGGGTACAGCCATGAGCCAGATCAACATGATCCCTGCCCTCACAGAGTTTACATGGGGATGGGTGGTGGTACTATACAATAAATGGCCAAAAAAAAAAAAAAAGCACAACAAAAACAAATTTCCAATACTGATAATTAATATGAAGAAAGTAAATCAGGAATGAGGTAAAGAATAATGAGTGAGGAAGTCCTACTTTAGATGCAGTGGTTATAGAAAACCTATTGAAGGAAGTGCATTTGAGGAACCACTAAAAAAAGATCTGGGGAAGGGCATTTCGGGCAGAGGAAACAGCAAGTATAAAGGCCCTGCGAAAGGAAGATTCTAGAACAAAAAAGCTTGTGACTGGAGCATGGTGATTGAGGAAGAGCAGACAAGTAGTGAAGTCAGAGACAGTCAGGGGCTACAGCCTGCAGAGCTTTGCAGACAATGATACCAAGAAAGGATATTATACTAATTCCACAGGGAAGCCACTGGGGAGTAGCTTATGCACAGGTGTGTTATGCCCTGGGGGCGGGAGAGTATAATACAAACTGCAACAATATAGCATTGTAGAATTAAAAGAAGTTTGGAGATTACCTGGTCCAAGTCTTTATTTTATAGATGAGAAATCTTGTAGAAGTCTCCAGATACAACATGCTGTTCCCTAGCTCCTTGCTTTTATTCATCTGACAACTTCCTTTACAGATAGATCCAAACTTCTTCTGACTATGAAACCATTTAATCCTGTCTCTGGTTTCCCTCTTGGGCTCTGAGTTTTTCAGTATCCTTCTTTGGTAAGATGGCAGGCAGCATCACATGTGGCCAAGAGGCCGGATTTTATCGTTTGGATTCGGCTTCTAGGACTTCTCTACTACATGATCGTTTATTATTTATTTCACCTCCTCAAGCCTCGGTTTTCATATGTGAAATGTAGTAGGAGTCCCCAGGGCTGCTGAGAGTGTTAATCAGACTAGTTTGTGTGTGGTCATGTGAATGAACATGATGCCTGGTATGTTGTTAGCTGCTCCATTAGGATGATTGTTATTGTAGCCAAGAGCCATAGAATTGTGAAATGGGAATCGACTTTGTAATAAGACAGACCTGAGTTCATACTCTGACTCGAACACTTTGAACAAAGTAAGTAATACCTCTGAACTTCACGTTTTATTCGTACATGGGGGTTGGGCGGGGGGGCAGGGGGATTCTAACTCCAGAACGTGATGAGGATGAGTGTCTGTAAGATGCTAGAAACAATGCTGGCACATTTTCTTTGTTGAATAAATGGTCCGATTGTCATATACTTTCCGTTGTCAAATAACAGGTTGACTTTTCTAGTTCTCTAACTTGGACGAAAATTTGCATGTATTTAATTAACATTATTTGAGTTCTTGATCTATAAAAATAACCAACACTTGTTGAAAACTGATGATGCACCAACACAGTTCTGAATGCTTTACATA